CAAATGATTTTAATATAAAATTATAAATATCTATTATAACATAATTAACATAAATTCAGTAGCAATATGTTTCAGGGGATTTTACAATATTTATTTACGTATAATTCAGTAGCAAAAAGTTTTTAAGAGAATTTATTATTGCACTTTTTAGGGCAGTTTACAATTGCCTGCTAACCTAACCGAGACTTAAGCTCACCACGCGCACGTGTAAAGTACTCGAGTCCTTCGTTCACTTTCGAGCGCATGTGGAAAACGATATGTGAATAATATACCGAAGATTTCCGGTTACAGCCGGTGAGACGCACACGCTTCTCTCGCGATCGGGTTCAGCAACACGTGCACATAAACATAGGTAAACGAACAGAGAAAAAAAACAATCGCGAAAAACCGATGAAAAATAATTCCTTATACTCATGTTTATTAAATATTAAGTACTGCCAATCTGTTCTAAATATTGCGCATTTTCACGAGTCAATACATGGTGTTTTGATGAGTTTTTTTTTTTCAAACCCATATAAAAGGCAGTGTTAACCGATACAAAATGGAAAACGTAATCTCTTATACTTGATTTTTTTTTTTTTTTTTTTTTAGAGAAAAATATTTAAAAAATAACATTGGGTAATAATCGCAAATTTCAACTATCAAACGAGCATTATATTACAGTATAACCTGTCTTGTGCAGAATCACAAGGGACCGAAAAACATTTTCGTTTTAGTCAGGTTTAAATATAACTGAATGAAAAAAAAAAAATCTGTATGTTACAATTTTTCGCCCAATAATAAAAATAAAAAAATTCAATTCAATAAATATTCTAGGTGACAATAAATTTGAATTTTTAGTGAATAATTACATAGTATGTTTTAATTAAATATTTCAAAATAATGATAAATTCTAATTTGAGGAACATATTTAGTAGGTATTAATAAAATAATAATATTATAAAATAAAGAAGCAGATTAAAATGCAATTACATATTCCAAAATTAGGGTAAAATTAGCAGTCTTATTTTTTTCTCTAACAACGCTTATTTCAACTTTTATTTTTGCCGATGGTATCGTTTCCAATAACTCACTATCAAATTTATTAATCGAACATTGTTTCAAATTATTAGTGTTAGTAACTTAATTATTCCATATGAACTTACCTTTTAACCGCTTTTCTTGAATTTTAATTTTGTTTTTAATTATAATATACATTTTCGTTTCCCCACATTAAAAAGTATTTATCAATGCTTTAACCCTATTTTCTTTTTCACTTTTTTCTATAACATTTTTAATTTAAATTTAAATAAATCTTAGAACTTAAGACGAGATTAAACGACAGAAAAACTAAAACTACGGAACAATAATAATTGATATAGAGATGTAGTGATATAGTTGATATAGATTTAAGATAAAATGTATGGTGGAGACGTATGTTATTACGTATCAAGCTTAAACGTTGTTAATGAGCTGTCAACGTTTCAGTTCGCCAATTTGGTAGCATATAGCACTACAATACACAATAATATGCAACTAACGTATTCTGATGGTCGATTATACTAATAACACCAGTCGATTAAGCAACCCCACATAGGATGTCGTATGTGTATACAGAAATTATTAAATCGTTCAATTGGAATTTTATATTGCAAGTAACACAAAAACGTAAAGAATACAGAAAACGATGACGTTTACAGTTTGGAATCAGAGGATATCGATTTTCGTGTAATTTTAGATAATATTTATTTTTTTTTTGTAATTGTTAGAGGTATAGCCAGTGGATTTACACAAGAAGCATGTGATTCTATCATCAGTCAAGAATACTCTGAAATCTGATTGATTCTGATGTAGTGATAAAGATCCTGGGAAATTTAATGCATTTTCATGTTTAATAAAAAATTGGCGGTGGAAGCTTAACATGAGGACGTACCCCTCTGTATTGATACCAGCTTTTAGGTAGACTGTTTCAAAAATGAGAGTAATATTGATATTTTCGAGCGCATCGATTATAATCTGATTGTGAATGGAGGGACAGACAATTGATATGACGTTCCTCTTGGAAGAATTAATAAGTCTACGTATTTGTATTAACTGGTCATTCATTTCGATGGTTTGAGTGAATTCTAAAAGTGAGTCAAGTATTTTCTTGCTTGAAAGGAAAAAGTAAAAACGATTATTTGAAATACGAGAGACGAACACAATATTTTTAGTTAATACTATTTTTCCCATGGTGAGAAGGAACAATTTTAGTTTACGGGACACCCAAAAATTTGGCAAATTTTTCGGGGGGATTAAGTCATATTTTGGGTGGAAAAAATTATGGTGAAATTAGAATTTGGAGCAAGAACTTATTTTTGAAGTTATAGTATGTATTAAAGTTTATAACTTTACACTAAAACTCTTAAATACTCATTTTTCATCATAATAGATGTTCAAAAGCGTTGCGCAATGGTAGTAGTATCGTTTATTTATCCACCGCATAGGTAAAATAAAATTTTGCACTTTTTTTTATTTTTTTTGAACTATAATTTTGTATCTGGTTTGATCTCTTATCGAAATGAAATTTTTTTGCATTTTTTTTTTTCGAAAAATCGAAACTTAAATTTTAAAAAATTTAGGACTTCACTCGTTACGCCTGCCGGCTCCACTCACAAAATCGAATGCCACTGTGTGGCACATTTCGGGGATGGGGCTTTGCCTTAAGAGGAATTATAGTCTAAATTAAACCTAGTTTTTGTACAAGCCTTGATACTGTTGTAAATGAGATTATGCTCTGTATGTGAACTTAAACCCTCGCTACGCGAGTAAAACCCTGAATCGTCATTAAAATTGTTTGTACTTTTTTTTTATTTTTTCTTACGCATCGAATATTTAATGCTGTGAAACGGACTATAGGTATTAATATAACCTCATTATAAAATAATTATTATACCGATTACAAAAAAAAGTGGAAAAAAATGCAATAAATAATATTTATTCCTACTACGGTGTTTGAACTCATTTCTCTCAAATTAATGGTGATTCCGCGTTACCAATTGCATCACGACATCACTGAAATAATCAATTTATTCATAACTATCAAATTTCAATAGGCTGTTACTTCCAATATAATTATCTGCGTCAATTTTCGTTTGCATTATCGTTTTCAGTGTTAAAAAATACATATGTTGACATAAGAAAAAATCCGAAATTTACGATGCCCCGTAAAGTAGGAATATACCGGCGAGGATATATTCTCTTTGAGATATTGAGGTATACCGTCTATTGAGTTGAATACGAGTGCCTGTTCACGGCTGGAAGAGTTTTTAGTATCTGTCGCAGAGTCGTAATTACGAGTAGTGTTTTTTTATGTATTATTTGTATGAATTTCTGGGCTGATGACTATACTCTCGATAGTCGCCAAAGGTGATGGTGCTGATGATGACGGATTTGGTGTGTAGGGGGTAGCGGTAGCGGATGTGGTTATAGACGTATTATTTATAGGTTGTATACCTTCTCAAACAACTCATTTTTTCTACAATCATATACAGCTAAATCATAACACTTCTTTCTCCAAATCAACTATTCACAAGCTATCAATGCAAAAATACAAATTTTTAAATAAAAATAAATATGACAGCTAACATTATACAATGAAATATAAATGGTCTACAAAAGCACTTTACCGACATTCATTGAGCAAAAACCCTCATTCATCCAATCGCTTTTTGCTTTCAAGAAACCCACCCAACATCACCTTTCCCAAGCAAGGATATAATGTTTTTTTCAAAAATCGTCAAGCTTACTTCCGTGCAAGTGGTGGTATTGGAATTTTCGTCAACAACTTCTTTGAAAGTACCGAAATTCATATTCATTTTCCTCTTGAAGTTATTACTATCTCTATACACCTCAAAACTCCCTTATGCATCTGCAATATTTATCTACCGGATAGCACCAATCTTTTACTTAATGACCTCAATGATATCATTAAACTGCCAAAACCCTTTCTTTTTATCGTCGACTTTAACCGCCGAAACCTAATCTGGGGATCTAACCACATTGATGCCTGAGGCAGAACGATGGAAATTTTTTTAAAAAATTACCAAATAATTTTACTAAACTTCGATAAATCCACACGACACAATGCAGCCCATAACTCTTTCTCAGCCATTGACCTCATAATATCAAATAGTGCTTTCGCTCCTATAACTGAATGGAATGTCCTTACAGAATACAGCACCAGCGACCAATTGTCAGTATCCATAAAAATACTCAATGAACCAACCAACATTCAACCACCTTCTCTATGGCACCTTAAAAATCCAAATTAGAATCTATACAGCAATATTATAACACAAAATATTAATGACAAATCAATTCATCTTGAACGCTGCAACGAATCAAATCCAAATCAACTTAATTATTGATCAGTTTTGTCATATTATATTAAAAGTTGCAAATAAGACCATCGGCAGAACTAATTCGCAATTAAAAAGAAAAAAATTCCCTGGTGGAATAATGATTTCAACGATGCAATCAAGTTATATGAAAAAGCATTAAATAGATTCAAAAAGATCAAAATAGATGAAGACCATTTAAAACTAAAAAAAGGGAGTGCTCAAGCAAGATTCATAACAAAAAAAAGCAAAACAGAATCGTGACAAAAATTTCGTTCTCTTTTTTCTATAGAATTTATTGAGAAGAAAAGATAAAATTGGTGGTTATTCGTATCCGTGCTCTTTAACGTGTGTATGTGTATATATTAATGGTTTATGCGGTCACGATAACATAGATAGTATGTAATCGTAATTCATATTTATATTTCATAGATTAACCAATCGTCGAAGTAGCAAAGATTGTAAGCTTACACAATTATCACTTATTAGATACTAGGTTGGTTTTATAAATTTCACAAATTTCAAACACTCGATAGAATTCAATTATTCTGTAAGGGAAAATATATTTTTGTAGTGTGCCCTCTACCATATTCATAAAGTCAACTGCGCTTTATTCTTACTACCCCAGACCCATGTACTCACCGAAATCAGCAATAATCCGTTCCACACAGAACACGAAGGCCAACAGCAACGCGTACACCAATCGCGTGACTGCGTCTCGCTTGTCCATCGTCGACCAACACACACGCCGCACGTGCGTACACGTTGTCGTCGTCCTCGGCGTCAAGTGCAGTTCATTTCGATGGCGGGGGTGCTGACAACGTTCGCCTACAACAATCAGTCGGTAATTATTAGTGTTTAAATATTTTAAATACTTCTTTTATGTGAAACATTAAATTCATTTTTAATTATTGTTGTTGGGTATTTATTTATTTGAAAATATAATGTGTTCTATAGGGATATTATAACGTTTATAACGAAAATTGGATTAATATCTCGGTGTTCAGTTTATCGTTGACTTACTGCAATATTAGACGACGGTAAAAAATGCAACTCATCAACTATATTACACTTGAGATTGTTGTAAATACCTTAAAAACATTGAAGATGTTTTTAAATCTCATTCAACCAATACAAGTGTGTGGTATAGTTTTTTTTATAAATTTTATTATTTTATCATAATTTTTTTATAAATCATTATTAAACTGTATTCCTATAAAATTTTTTTGTTCCTTTAAAAATTTTAAATTTTATAAATGTGTTATACCAATGAAAACAATCACTAATATGTGTTATTAATTTGTTCTACCTGTAATATGTGTAATATACATAATACTTAAACTTATATAAAAGAAAAACAATAATTTTTAAAATATTGAAATATTTCACAAACTTTTCAAACACTAGTTATTATTTAAAGGAACCGACTGTTCGGTTGAACGCACTCGCTGGTGCACTCGAACCTCACGATACAACAAACCGGATGACTATTCGGAAAAACGCGTTACACGGACAACTTGTTAGACAGAAACAGTCTGTTTTTTATTCCCTTCTCCCACTCACACAAAAAAAAAAAAACTTGCTCTTACTGTCGAAACAAATAATAATAAAAATATGCGCGATCTGTTCAACATTATCTGTAGTCAGAAATGTTAATGTTATGGCATCAGATGATTAATTATAATGTGTGTGCGTGTAGACACCTTATAAATTAGCCTTATAATTTTATTTGTTAACAAACTTTCTGAAACTTTATTTTCCCATAACTTTGACATCTTCGGAGTGCAAATATATTTATTATATAATTGCAAAATAATAATATAAGGTCGATTAGCTAAATTAAAAGGTTTTTCAATGGAAACGCCGAGGTCCCATGAAAAATTTGTGATTTAAAAGAGTTTTGGGAAATAATTCCACGAATGTAATGTAATTATTTTTGTGTTGTATATGTGACACGGTTGAAACGTGTTTTTTCAACGATCAAACGCACACGAAAAAACGTTGTGTTGGCAACAGGAATAAAATTAAATATTAACAGCAATAAACAACGGCGGCGGTGACCTCGACCGCGATGCGTGGAATTATTATTATCGTCGTTATTAAATTAATAAAATAGCGTTATGAACCATCGTAGAAAGATCTGAAAAATTCTTGCATGTTTGCATGTATATTTGCGAACCGTGGTTACGGTCTGAAATACAATTTTCAAGGGAATGCACGATTGCACGTATATCGTTCTATAAAACATATTTAAACATAATTATTATTGAAAACAACCCGGAATCAAATATCTTTAAAGTTTGTGTGAGTTCGTTCGTATAACTGAAGCACACTTGCGCACAAATCAATTGCAACAACAGATAATATTTTTTAAATTGAAATAATATTAAATTATTTCATCTATTAATGTGAATCGATCGGCGATTGTTTTATAATATATATTCGACTCTTAAATTATCTCCGGGTCTCTTAAATTAGTAATTTACAAGTTCTGAAGGGTTTTTTTAATGTGAATAGCATCCCTCATCAGAGGTGTGTTACCCCAGCACCCGCACTTTCGAAATCATGAAACAAAATCAAGCAGTATTATGTACTTTATTTTGTACAATTTTGTACAAACAAAATTAAATTTTGTAAAACCCCCGAACCTCCCCGAAATTCAATTTCATTTTACGGGTGCTGCGGTAACGTTACACCAGTACCCGGATCAACTATTTTTAACAAATTTCAAATTTAAACCGTACAGTATTATGTACTTGATTTTGTACAATTTTTTCAACCCTCAACCCCCCCCCCCCTGATATTCAATTTCATCTTATGGGTGTTATCACGTATTTTTTATCAATATTTTATCTAAGATACTTGTATCGAAGATAGAGCACTTCCTTTTAGGTAGGAATAGTTGCTGTTGATTAACTTATATATTTCAAAAAGAATCAACAGAATATATTAGGTAAGTTCTCAGATATCAAGTTTTAAAATTATGTCAATTATATTAAGTAGGTGCATTATTTTAACAATAGTTAAATTAATCATTTATATATTTATATATTAATATCATATTACATTTTTACATTTGTTAATGAATGATTTATTTTCTGATAAGAATAATAAAAAAAAAAAATCGAAGAGTATCTACATTATAAGTAGATACATCGGTACATGTATATGTCTTGTTTCTACTGAATACAGTTGACATAAGAATGTCAACGCCGATTAGGTATTAGATACTAGGATTAAGCTGTAGGTAACTTTTTTAACACGTGTAAAAAATAAACAAGGTTCAAAGACCACAAATATTCCGTTAAATATTTTTTTGAATATACATTTTATTTTAATTTAAATGACAGAATCGTAATTTATAACAATTTAGTGATTAATAATAAAGAATGGTGTAGTGAAATACAAAACGTACTCACGCGTTTCATCCTAATCGATGTGTCTATAAAATACTTAAAAAATATATATATTAATATAAACAATATAAATATGTTTACGAAGAGTAATAAGCTAACTAAAATTACAAATACCGATAATTCCCACGTACTGACATCGACGAACAAACTATTAACAAATATCAGTTATATTTATATAATGTATAATGAGTTATTTTTATCATCAATATAATTATTATTCAACTAGCTATACCTAATGTTACTTTTTTACTAATTTTTCTCAAAACTACTCCATTGTTGCTTACTGCCTTTCAGCTTAGGAGGGCAGTATACATGTCAACATGTCAATAAACATCGTTTTATATTTGTTATGCCGTAGGTATACCGTAAAAGTTTTTATTATTTTAATATTGTCTGACCAATTTCTTGTCATCATAGCAGTAGTTGTAATTTATTATTGTTATCTTAATGTTAAGAATAAAAATATAATATTGCATTTCTAAAAATAGTCTAATACAATCTGATTTTAGGTTGTACAATAATAAATACTATTTATAACCAATGAACAATGATACTAAGTAGTTGGTACGTCGTACGTAGGCATTATGCTATATTGCTACTTTCAACATTGTCGACTAATTCGTATATTCATGATATCGCGCTTCTAAACTTTACTACAACAAAATGTATCGAATATTTTGACTCATAGATTAATTTTATTTTAGTAATTTACTATAATTTTGTCTATAATAATATGTATATGGTTTTAATATGAACTTGAATGTACCTATCGCCTAATGTCTTAATGTACTTCTGTTTTTCAAAATTGTGATAATTTAAATAAGTTACATTTATGTCGTGTATTAGGTATAATTTCCTTGAATTTATTTTGTTTTATATTAAAATATAATTAAAACTTTTGTGTATGACTCTAATAAGTGATGGCAAACGATAATAGAGAAAGAAAACCAAATAATTTAAATGAAAATATTGATGATGAAATTTTAAATTTAAAAGATCAAATTACTTTGGATGGCTATAGTATTATTGTTTTAGTAAAGGTATCTAAATAATATAAACAATGCAATGTATGATTCAACATACCTACAGCTTTAATACATTCAAGTACCTATTCAATCATTTTAAATGTGTAGGATCTACATTTTAAATTTATCAATTACCTATAATAGGTACCTACTACCTATTACAATTAAATTCATTAAATTGATTTTATGTACACAAACAAAAGATTTCTTCTTTTAGAAAATAGTCTAAAAATAGTCAATATATGACTTGTAAAAAAATAAAAATATAAAATTAAATAGAGTTGTATCTATGATAATTTTGCCTTTTATTAGGTATATTTTGTAATTCCCAAAAAATATAATATGTTTATTTTGGATTTAAAATTTATTTTATGCAAATTTGATCAACAATATTATTGTTAACACATTGATGGACATTCTGAATTTTGGTTTTTTTTCTTAAGAACCTTCAGAAACACAATTAAATATTAGTACTATAGCAGTAGTGATTTGACCACTGCTATAGCAGTACTGTCCACCTACATGGTAATATCATAATAATCACACACTTTGTCATATTTTTTCGGGACACAGTATTTATTATATTTGATATTTATTTACGTAAATATTTAACGCACTAACAACTCGATAGTTGACACACAACTGCAACTGAATTACCAAAACTAAATATAACGAAAACAATCATTACTTTTAAATTATAAACAATGATTGTATTATTAGCTAGATTGTTATTTGTTATACTGTATGGTATTAATTTTAAAATGAAAAGAAACAGTTTTCAGAAATAATTGTCAATAAAATTCCCGATAACATATTATAAACGGCAAATACTAAAAATAGAAATAATTGGATATAAAATACAATGCCTAATAATTCGTTGAGTTGCAATGGTGGGGCAGTATATATAAAACATCTTATATTAAATATTAAAGACTTTTTAGGAGCCAAATTTTTTTTATCGGTATTTCAAGAAAAAAAAAAAATTAGAAAAATCAAAAATTTCAATGGTCTATAAATATTATGAAAATTTAATCATAAATATGTAACGCTAATATAAACATTTGGTTAAAATTTCAAGTATTTACAATGATTTTCTTTTGAGTTACAACAAAATTAAAAAATCGATTTAGTCGAAAAGTGGTTATACATAAATTCCTGTTTTTCCGTTACTATTTCAGGGTTATTACAAAGTCTCTTAAAAACTAATTTACATTTTTTACTATTAACCATCTAAAGCAGCGGTTCTCAAACTTTTTTTTTCGCGTACCACTTGAATATATTATCAGTAATGTACCACTAATAATAGAACCATATAAACTTTACATAATAAAATACATTTATTTTAAACATAAAGGCATTAAAATACTACAATAAAATTACTATTTATTTATTAATAAAAATGTATTTGTGTTTTTAAATTAATGTAAGAGTTAAATATCGAATTTTTAATTTCCGTTCTATCACGGCCTTTCGCGTACCACCTTATAGTCTTTCGCGTACCACTAGTGGTACGCGTACCACAGTTTGAGAACCGTTGATCTAAAGTATAAACTAGATTAAATTTCCTTTTTAAAGAAGGGCTGAAGTTAAAATCAAAGCACTATTACTACTCCAAAACGTGATGACAGACACAATAAAAAAAAAAAGCACACATCATTGTAAAATAAACACGTTCATCACTCCGTTAAGAATCTAAAAGTTTAATAAAAAGTATTAACATAGATGTTCTAGAATATAGAATTAACCTATAAAAATCGGAAAATAATGTAGTACATCATAAAGAATTGAGTTAAAAGAATTACCAACAGTTGAAAGTGGTAAACTATGATAATGGATAAAGGGGAAATATTTGAAATTTGTACTCGAACTTCTATGAACCCAACGAGCTGCTTCTGGTTTGAGAATTGTACAAAATAAAGTACATAATACTGTACGGTTTAAAGTTGAAATTTGTGAAAAATAGTTGATCCGGGTGCTGGTCTAACGTTACCGCAGCACCCGTAAAATGAAATTGAATTTCGGGGAGGTTCGGGGGTTGTAAAAATTTAATTTTGTTTGTATAAAATTATACAAAATAAAGTACATAATACTGCTTAATTACAATTCATGATTTAGAAAGTGCGGGTGCTGGGGTAACGCAACTCCTTATCAGATCAACACTAATTATCATATTTTACGTAAAAATCGATATCACACTTACTTATCGTGTTCTTTTCTTAAACTGGTTATACAAGTTTTCTAAAAAAAAAAAAAATAGAGAGAAACTATCAATCATTATCCGAAAAAAACGTGATAATGTATACACTAGTTATATTGTTATGATAATATGATAAACTCGTGGTGAAACAATGTATACGATTCATTTAAAAATGTAATATGCTCAGAACCAGAAACATTCACGTAACAATAAAATGAAAACTTTGTGAACCTTTATGGTTTTATTCGATTTTAACGCTTTAGACGAAAAATAGTGTCGTTAATGTAATCATGTTCATAAAAACATTCCAGCGCGCTGCGGCGAATACTTTCTCGTCGGTGATATTCAATATGTCGTGAAATAATCCTTAACAATGCGATAAACCGGACACGCACGTTGAGTAAACGAACTAATAACTCTTACAACGAGCAAAGGGTTAAAAATATTTACAATAGATATTACCCAATTACTCCTTCCCTGCACTTACTTATAAATATCTTAAAACGTCGAAACACAATATCGGGGGTAGTTAAACTATAGTCTACCCTACTTGACCGTGACTTATGACAATCGTATTATCTAAACAAATACAATATTTGGTATAGACCCCATGGTGGTAGTCGAAACACATGATAAATTGAATCTATCCTAACAGATTTAATTGTTTGGTTCTGATACGACATTAAATCGTTCAATTAGTCGACAAGTCAAAACCAAAATTATTGTAACCATACTATGCACAAAGAGTAAAAATGTATAATGTGTTATGGAAACAAAATGAATCCATCATAGGTTTTATTGAGCACATTTTTATCTACGCTTTTAATTTTTTCGGAGTGCGATTCAACACTTTCTATGGATAATATTAATCAACGTTTTTATTTTTTATAATATAAAATGTTGCGATATTAATCCCAAGCCTGCGAATTTCTGAGCTCGAAAGTAAATGTTATTCTATGGCAAAACTTGATTTGAATATGAAATACGGGTTCGTTATGCAGCATTTCAATAATAGGACGTGATAAACACATAATTCGAGAAAAAATAAAAATAAAAAGAGTCGACCACAGTCTCTTACGATACATTTGAAATTGTTTACCAACCGAATCGTGAAATGTATGTATATATTTTGTGCTTTCTTTCGTCGATGCAACATTATACAGTGCATACGTTTTTTTTTTTATTTAATACACGCGGTCTAATGCTTTTTTTTAATCTAATCGATAGCGAGATACTATTGGGTTCAAACGATAAATGATTGTGTGTTTTGTTGTTTTTTTTTTTTTTTTTTTTTATTCAGAAAACACATTTCCGAAACAGTTGAAGTTTCATGCTAATTTTTACGCGAGTACGCTGTTTAAATAATACTTTTTTTTCCAAAATATTTGATTTGAAGTTGAACAATAATAATATTACAACACTGCAGATATTGTGCCAAAATTACAGAAGAAAAATTAACGTCTAACTCAATATGGTCATCATGAACTATCTCGTATTCTTGTGAGAATTTTTCACATTTCGATTTTAACCACACGTATAAATTGGAAAATAAATTTTATTCTTTTTTAAACATGAATTGGTAGAATCAAAAATATATTATGTTGTTTTTTTCCGTGACCAAAATATCGAGATATTACATAAATATTACACGAGCGTATACGTTACTATGTCGGTTTTATAATTTAATATATTTTATCTCATTTTCACTTTTGTCACGATGTCCTGTCTGTCGAATTCCCTTGAAACATCTTACAACTGCAGACTTGAACTACAATAAATCTAATTGGATTCGGTCATATACTTTTGTGACTTAACCACGCTTAATGGAATTGACAAAGAAAAAAAAATACGATCTTATAAAAAATAAATGGACGTTAGCGCCCCCTTGGTTCGAAGTGTGATATAAATATAAATATACTCGTATTATAGTTTAAAGTAAAATATCTTGTATTCAATTCTTTTGTCAGTTTCTGAAAACCAGATGTCATGGAAATGAAAATTATGGATATATGTCTTAGTATGAACAGTAAATCACAGACAATTGTTTTAGAAAAAAAAGTTCCACGAATGCCGTTTTTAGTTGCTAACAAACATTATTTTCTACGCTATTATTTTTTATACTTTTATAGAATAAACAAAGTTCAATATCCATTGGAAGTTCAACGTTGAATCCCTCCAAATTATTGCTTGTTATTAATTTACTTGAATATGTTATTAATACATGCTACTGAAATCGTATCATTAACCGGACTAAACTTTTAATGTACGCATACACAATATCACGGATGATGACAAATTTATAATATCATAAATATCAATTGAAACATATTGACATCTAATAGAAATCGATAATATAACTCATAAAGTACACGGGAAATACATTTTAAAATCGTTTTCATCAAACACTATTAGGTACGAATGCTTTTTTTTAATTTTTTTTTTATATTTTGTTCACGATACATTAATTCTGATCTAAAAGTGGTGTGGTTCAATTGTAAAGTCCAACGGATATATACATGAAAATTCGTGTACACTATTCCGAATGCATTAGAAATGTTTTATTATAAATCATTGCATAAAATACTCGCCGCATAAAAACACCGTAATAGGCCGTATGGCGTGCACCCAGAGATGGAACAAGGAATTTTTACGCCCAGGCAAAATGTTAAAATTACGTGCTATCACAGACCAATAATCAAATACTTTTGTCGATAATTTTTTTCTAATAAATTAATATTAATATACATATACATACATATGTATACATATAAATTAATATACAATCCCACTTAATGAGTTTTACCCTAATATCAGTATTTAACAAAGTTAAAAATATCAAATTAGTTATTAATAATTACAATAATTACACCCACTAAAATATTACGTCCGGGGACGAATCCCCGTCTTCCACCTCCTAGTTCCACCTCTGCGTGCACTATGATATTACGTGATGTATGAAAATCATTGTTCGTTTAGTCGCACTCGTATTAGCTACAGCCGTATCTCCATAGGACTGTTTCTTCAACACGCAGCTCGTCCGAATATGTACAACATTGTTCCGTCCCAAGCCAGCGCGAAAACGAAGTTAGAACGGTTATTTGCTTCCCGAGAATTATTATGCCCGGTGAATCAATGTAAAATCGTTCATGTATTTCTTAGGACGGTTTTTTTCTCTGTGCAACTGCTATACTTTTCCCTGTGGCGGTTTCGTTTACCGATATAATATGTAACTGCCACGTTCTCGGACGAACTTCATTTGGTTTTCCTTTCTTTTTTTCTTCTCCTTTCTTTTTCGTTTCTCGACCGACACGTGGCGTATTCGATGCGAACAAAACAATTCCGATACTTTAATAAATCAGAATATTATGCGCACAATAATATTATCGATCCGGCGGGATGATAAGACAAACTATGCGACCCCGATGTCACCGTTTTTGTTATTATTATCACTAACTATTATTATTAATACTTTACGGACATATTTTAGATTAATCATCGACCGTTTAACGTATGTGCGAATACATACGGGTTTTGGTTTCTTTTTCGCCCACAAACGCGGTCCGCGAACTATTTCGTGGTCAAGAATTTCAAAAATGTCAAGACCTATTCCGAGTAATGCACGCATTTCCGGAAAGGACTGTGTTCCGAACTCAAAACCACCACACACACACCAACCTACGTCAAAATTCTAGACCCTTCGATTTTACAGTTTATCCCCATCCCCTCCCTCTTTCCCCACTCCACTGTATATTAATTATTAAAGATTTACTGCTGACGTGTGACACTGGTGGCGAACAAGGAATTCGCGGAACAGAATGTAAATACATGTATGACAGTCGTCAAACGTGAGGCAAAAAGTTTATCGTACGTGTTTTTTTTTCTACCCTCCATCAAACGGGATAGATAGCATTTCATCAGTTTGGAAGGTAGTTCGGTTGTATATATCTGTGGGTATTTAAACACCGGTGCGCTTAATAAAAGCGTTATTTCTCTGCGAGTAAAAAAAAAAAAAATAGTAAAGTAAGACAAGTTCTTGCGTTGAAAGAATTGCAAATTCTATAAATTTTCTTGTTTAAGTGTTAACAATTTAAAATTCGGAGCAGTTACTTTTATCGTTTACCGTTCATTTTTTGATTTCATAACTCCGCTTTGTTAATATTGAAATCTTATGGTTCGTAAATATAATTGTATAAAATAATATGTTATTAAGAAATATTAAAAATGTCCAGAGTAAAAGTACAAACTTATAGGCATTGTTATTTTTTTTTTTTTTTAAGAGAACATTCGATAGCAACAAAACTAAAAGTATTTTTAAAAAATATGCGCATTTGAATTCGCTTAATTCATTTTAATACTTACATAATAATGTATAGCTAGTGTATGAATATAGTATTACAAATTGTAATCACCAAGCTATTAGAAAATCTATTTTAAAATTATATGCAAATATTCACTTCGCACAAAACCGTAAAAAAAAAGCGTAATATATGTGATTATTAGATAAAAATTACACCGATTTCACGTGGAACCTAAAATAATATTATCCCTCACTCATTGCGTAATTGTCGGAATACGCGAAAAGATCACGACATTCAGTTCACGGTAATTCGTATTGTTTAATAATAAAAATAGCGGGTGACTGACAATGGGTAAAATAGTCACGATTTTTTTTAAATCGAGTTAGATTTATTTTCGAGTTTTATTGAAAAAAAAAAACTAATTTTGCTATCGATTGATGTAGTTTTTCGGTTTTCTAATATGTCGATCAAATGGGTCACAATCGAACCAGAGTTTAACCGATCGTTTTAATAATAATATAATATTCAATATGAACGGAGTTGCTGCAAACTACCGAGATCACGAACAACTATGCATCAACCGCACCGCGTTTGTTGTAGAAGTGTCGGCGGACTACACGAAAACGGTCGCCAATAATAATTAACAATCGCCATTACAATAATAATAACACGGCACGGCATCTGCCGCGTACTAACTTCTCTTCGCGCGTCCTAACAGCCATTAGAATTCTCAAGGGGGCGTC